ACCTTTGTTTAGTTTCTCTAAAATGTCTTTATTGCTTTGGACTAGCGAGATCTTCCATTTAGTGTTGCCACTGTAGAAGGCTGTAGGCCTGGGCCCAGCCATTTAGTGTTTGTAAACCAGGTAAGTTCTGGAAGTTCCCAAGGCAAGTTGCATTTCTTCCACTTTTGGATTTGTCAGTATTCAAAGATGTATCTCTGGGCTTTCTAACTGGAAGGAGCCTCTAATGTGATTTTTGTGGACGCCTTACTTAAAAGAGGAAATAAAGCCCTGGGGAGAAATAATCTACTCTCTTGAGGTCACACCGATAATTAATGGCTGAGCAGGAGTTGAAGCACATGTGGTCTGAAAAGTCCCATTTCAACTGTTAGCTTGGGCTTGCATGTCATGTGTGGGCCCCATTGCTGCTTTAACTGTAATAAGGCATCAAATCAGTTTGCCAACTGATGTCTCCTATCTCCCCTGCTGGATCTGTCCATCTCCTCTGGCCTCAACCTCTTTGTGCCTCCTATAGGTGGATCGCATGTCCTTTCCATGCGGCTGCTCCAGGGATGGCTGTGGAAACATGGCTGGGCGCATAGAGTTTAATCCAATCCGTGTGCGGACTCATTACCTCCACACCATCATGAAGCTGGAGCTAGAGAGCAAGCGGCAGGTGAGTCGCCCAGCAGCCCCTGAGGAGGAGCCCTCACCCACGGCCAGCTGCAGCCTGACAGGAGCTCAGGGCTCAGAGACTCAGGACTTCCAGGAGTTCATCGCTGAGAATGAGACTGCAGTGATGCACCTGCAGAGTGCGGAGGAACTGGAGCGGCTCAAGGCTGAGGAAGACTCTAGTGGTTCCAGTGCCAGCCTGGACTCAAGCATTGAGAGCCTGGGCGTGTGCATCCTGGAAGAGCCCCTGGCTGTGCCTGAAGAGCTGTGCCCAGGCCTCACGGCCCCCATTCTCATCCAGGCTCAGCTGCCCCCCGGCTCCTCTGTTCTATGTTTTGCTGAGAACTCGGACCACCCATCTGCCTCGACGGTGAACAACCCATCCTACTTGAACAGTGGGCCCCTGGTCTACTACCAGGTGGAGCAGAGGCCAGTCCTAGGAGTAAAAGGAGAGCCTGATATCGAAGAAGGCACAGCCTCTTTCCCCAAGGAGAAGGATGTGAGTGTCTTCTCCCTCCCTGTTACCTCACTGGTGGCTTGCAGCCCCACAGACCCAGCTGCCCTCTGTAAGTCAGATGTAGGGAAAGCACCCACCCTAGATGCGCTATTACCTGACGACTGTGACCCCGAGGAGCCTGAGAACGAAGACTTCTGCCCCTCCTGGTCCCCCTCAAGCCTCCCTTTCCGCACAGACAATGAAGAGGGCTGTGGGGTAGAGCAGAGCTCCCAGCAGAATGAGGACCGGCCACCTGAAGAGTCTGCCCTAGAACTCCCTCTGGCAGTGTGACATGGGTGCACCGTACTGCCTCTTGCCCGTTCTCTATTTATTCCCTTATTTTATCTAACGCCATTTCGAAACAAGACTAGAAGCAGCTGCTGCTCCCATGTTATTTTATTGGGGTCTTTGGGGAAACTGGATGGGAAAGGATTGTTTGTACAAGTATTTTTTAAAATGGAAACAATACCAGGAGCGGCCCCATCTTGATCTGGGGAGTCTTAGAAGAGGCTGCACAGTGCCCAGTACTAAACTTTCTGGGCCATCAAAGCAAAGATGTAGGATCTCACAGGAGTAGCTGGGTAACTCAAGCTGCTGTTCCTCACATAGGGACCAGAACACAAGAATTTGCCTGGCAGAGCCCCTTCTCACCTGGGCTTCAGGCAGGGACAAGCTCATTTCTCTCAGTGGTTATTCTGACATCCCATCTTGGTGTATCATAATCATACACCTGGAAAGGTCACCTGGTTGAATCTACAGAGAGGGTGGAAGGGTCTTGCTTTCTCTACAAACCTCCAGGATGTCTAAAATTTTAACTCGTCTTCCCCTGAACCTATTTGGTAAATAAGTTAATATTTAACATGTTTGGTGTTTTCTGACCTGCTCCCCACACTGGGGATTCCTGGTCTATAACTTGAATTGTTTCTTTCACATGTTTTTAGATACTAGAGTTAAATTTGTCTGTCTTCTTTCCTCCATCCTTTGACTGAAAAGAAAAAAAAAAAAAATATTGGCCAGGTGTGTGGTTTGAAGAACCTGAGGCTTCTGCATGTATCTAATGCTATCTGGGCCAAGCAGCTTCAGGTGAGGCTCACCCGTCCATCCCATAGAGCATTAACTATGTCCAAAGGAGGCCACAGGAATAGCCTACCATATGGAAAGATGACTTTACTGTTGTCATATCCGCTTTTTTATCAGCTCCCCACCCTCGGGGAGATTGGAGCTTTAAGTGGAATATAAGATGTGGCAATCTAAGGTCATCAACTCATTTTTGTTTTATGTTTTTCTTCTACTCCTTGTCCTTCTTGGATATATACAGGGTTAGAGTTCTTACACTATTCCAGTTCAACACTAAGAACTGCAGATGTTTATCAGATACCTTCATCTGGATGATTTATAAAAGTTGGAAGCCAAATCAATTCTTAAAGGCTATATACAGTTTCCAGGTTCCACTGAATTCAATATCTAATTGTATTTAAAATGTATAGAATAATACAACTCGAATTCAGACCTTGCCTCCATCAGTTCTTACTCATCTCATGTTCAGCTTATGTTTCACAGTCTCCATTGAACAACATTGATTTCTTTATTGGCAATGATACCTTTGCCTCTTTTACAATGAAGGCAGCAGGGAACGAACACTACTGGTTCTCTAGTATCTTTATACCAAGCTTCATTTCTGGCAAATGAAGCATGGTATAAATTTCATTTCAGAAAAGAAAAAAGTAATGCCTTTTTTTTTTTGGTGGGATAGGGGGAGATAGTAAGGTCCTGGTGTCTTAGAGCCAACTTCATGTATGTGGTGGCAGTACTCCACCTATATGATCTCTAAACTCAGCCTGAAGGGCATTCACTCAAGACAGGTATAGGTTTTAACTACTTCTGCCTTTCCTGTTCTTTCCTGGTTTTGTCTGGCTTTATGTTTAGAGGAGAGTCCTTCAATACACACAGATCCTTATCTCTCCCTTTTTTGTGAGCCTTTGGCTCACAAAATTTAGTCCCTGGGATGTAGATGATATTCCCACGTAGACTAGAACTGCCAAACACAAGTCTGAAGTTTAACTGGGAATGCAACTCAAAGAAGAAAATAATCAAAGTTTGTTTAAAGGAGTGCTCTGCACATTCCCTCCTTAGAAAGGTTACAACTTAATTTAGGACATGGATTCCAGTTACATATTAAGAAATACATTAGCCTTTGGAGTCATGAATTAAAATGTGTAATTATTAAACTCATTGCCAACCCCTAATGTGTTTGATATTCCCGCAAAGCTATAGTTTCTTAATCTAAGTCCATTCCTTCATTAACTATAATTCTGACTCAAACTGACCCCAAACTTCTGAATACTAAACATTTAGCATTTATTTAGCATTTAACATTTATTGTCAAGCAAAAGGCCTTTTCTACAACCTAAGTCCATCTCATTTCTGGTGCTATCTGAGTTGGACAACGTTATAGCTCATGGTTGCTAGCAAAGCAAGGCCCTGATTATAGAAGCAGATTGCTTCAGTCCCACTCATCTAAGCCTAGATGAAAGAAATGACTCATGACCACAACTCTGTTATTTTCCAGTTCCTTTCTCACACACTGTACCCAGGTAGTATTTTTAATGTGAATCCAAAGCTTGTCTGGTTCTCTGAAAACAATTTCCCCTTTAGGTTCTTTACATTGTGATAATGCTGTATTTAAAGAGAATATTTAAATGTAATATTAAACAAATATTCAAAAGAATGGTGTGTTGTTGTTATCTTAGCAGACTGCAAGTAGTTACTTGTTAGAGAAAGGCTTTTATGGCTTTGTATATAAAACTAATTAGGTCAGTCAAGAAATAGTGTTAACAAGAGAAATACTTTGTGATGGAAATGGAGAATATTCTATTTGAAATACCACAAGCCTGTCTTGCCGCAGAGGTCCTATGTACCTCTTTAGTGGAAGGAAGCCTTGCTCCTGCCCTGTTACATCTTCGCCCTTTGTAGTCTCATTTCTCTCCATTCCTAGTTATCACTTTAAAATGTCCACTAGAAGATCAACTCAAATCAGCTCCTTCAAAACTTCCATCCCATGAGAAGGTTCTACTTCAATCAATTAAATCCACATTCATTAGATTATGTCAGTCTTGTAAAAGGAGCCTTAGAAAAGTGATTAGGTTGTACAAGAATAATTTCCATCAGCATATTTCAGGCAGTCTTGGGTTCAAACAGTGCTTCATGCATTTATAGTAAGTTATTACAGAACTACAGGTCATAGATGTACACATAAAAGCTAAACATAACTTACTATCTTAATGCCGATCTCTCCTGGTCTCCCAGGGCTGGGTAGTACCTTCACCAGTTTTGACCTATGGCCCAAAGGAGACAGCCACTGTCGGTTATAGTTGGGTTTCTGCAACAGTGGAGGTAGCAAGTAATTTAAGATCCATGGGGACTGTGTAACAGCCCTTAAGACAATAGGGGCTGAAGGCTGTAAACACTGGAGAAGAGACCAGTCAGCACTTCCTTTACAATGTTCCCTTAAGTTATTCCTTTAAAAAAAAAAAAAAAAGTGAAGGTATTTGAAAGGGAGTGGTTAGTCCATGCCAGTAAGGACAAAAGAAAAAAATCCCATTTTTGGTCATAGCAGGATAGAAGAGAGCACTCAAAAATACAAGGATTTTTATGCTCCAGTCTAAGTGCAATTCTGATCAGCTAGGAATCCTGTGGGGGAAAACAGCTATGAAAAACATGGCAGTGAAGCTAGGTATGGTGTTGAACACCTGTAGTCCCAGTTACTCAGAAGGCTGAGGTGGAAAGATCCCTCAAACAGGAGTTTGAGGCCAGCCTGGGCAATACAGCCAGACCCCCCCGCCCCCCCCCCCCCAAAAAAAACAGTCAAGTCAGGACAAATGATTCCCACCTCAGGCAAAACCTGACTTTAGAGGACTGAAACACAACACATCACAAGCCAAGACTGGTGCAGAGGTTCTGCCAGCTCCAGTTTAGTACAAGGAAGAAGGGATGATGCCTCACGTGGGCCACTCTTGTGAAGAGGGTTTTAGCTTGAGCCGTGAGAGGAATGTAGCTCCCGCGTGGAAAGCATGCTTCTGTGAAGCCCATGGCACCTGCTCCTTTGACCCCACACACCTAACAGTGCACACATATTCTGACAAGCTCTTTGGTCCCACACTGCTGTACTATGCGACTGTAGGACAATGCCATCCACTCCAGGGTTCACTCAGCGCCTTGTCCTAAGGTAGTTGGTGGAGAGTAGGACCACGTTGTGCAGCAATAGGGACAGCTCCGCCTCTGAAAACATCAGTGTTAGTGGTTTGGCTAAAGGATGATTTGTCTTCTAACTGCCTTGGAGACTTAAAACAGGATGTAGGAAGGCATGGAATCAAGAGTCTATTCCCTGCTTCGTTCCAGCCCTGCACACATGCTTTTTCTCCCTCACACTATATATTTCTATCAACTCATCCTCTTATTTCTTGGTTCTCAAGAAATATTTTGATTCTACTGATGGGAATAGAATAGCAAGAAGTACTAAACACTTTTGTTGCCTTGGGATTCTTCCAGTAGGCAATGGTACCATAAAGACCAGTCTCAGCTTCCAGACAAGTAATAACTATAGGCCTAGAAAGGCGAAAACTTCCAAACAGGAGACCGATGGTGCTGATGCCCAACCTCAGATCATTCCTGTTTAGCCAGTAGGGAATTCTAGTTTTAGTCTTCAGACCAGTGCTCAATCCTGCCCTTCTCCCCTTACTCTACACCTCAACCCAGGGAACATCTCACACTTTCCCAGGTATTTTGATTGTCACAAGTGGAGACAAAAGCCAGATATATGGATAATTATCCTTTCAAGCACAAAATAGTCCCTCCAACAAAAAAAAAATCAAAAATGACAAAGGTAATAAAGTGCTTCAGATCAGCATGCCCTCCCTCCTTCCTGCCAGTCCACCTTACTCTGCCTAGGCAAGGGAAGAGGCATATGAGTTCATACCTTTTCAATCAGATGTTAAATAAAGTAATCAATCACAAGGTAATCAATAACTCTGGATAAAATACAAAAATGAGATGGACTTCATTGGCATGATCAGAGAAATAGGTCTTACCTTTCAAGCTGCAGGAAATCTGTAGCCAATCTCCTAGCCAAGTTCGACACCTGTCTTCAGCAATATGTGTAGAATTCAGTCCACGAAGAAAACAAGCCTAAACCACCCAGAAGAGAAATGCCCTTAATAATCATACCAAGTCAGAAATGGAAATCTACAAGTATTCCTCAGGCTCCTTTCCTTTTGACATGAGATAGGATGTGTCACTATGTAGCCCAGGCTGGCCTCAAACTTGGGAGTCCCTGCTTTGGCTTCCTGTGTGCTGGTATTACAGATGTGTGCCAAAATGCCACATCCTGAATCCTTTTTAAATGGTACAACCTCATGAGAAACTTTTCACCATGGTACTTTGAACTGATGGATGAGAGGCAAAGAGGCCTAATGCTACAGCTGAAATGGCATACAAAAACTCATGTTCTAAAGGCTCAGTCCCAAGACAGGGGTGTATGTCAGAGGTACAATGCTTGATCAGCATGCACAAGACCTTAGAGGGTTCAACACCTAGCACTAAGAAAAATGAAAGGATTAGTTCCCTACTTGGTGGAAACTATAAGAATGCTGCCTACTGAGAAGTCTTCTGGTCATTGGGACAAGGCAACCTTCCTCCTGTCCTCACTTTCCAGATGCAACAGGTGAGCAGCTTTGCTCCAGTAGATACTCACTGCTAGGATGCACTGCCTCATCACAGGATTAAAAGCAATTGGTCAAATGATCACAGACTAAAACCTCCAAAACTTCCCTCTCAGCTATTTATTACAATAATGGGAAACTGATTAACACACCTATCTAAACAAGACAGTAGGTGCAAAATGTAGAATTTTTAGTTTTTGTTGTTGTTCTGTTTTAACACAATCTAATTATGTAGCCCAGCTAGCCTGGGAATCAAGACCCTCTCACTTCCACCTTCCCTTACCTCCTAAGTGCTAGGATCATAGGTATGTGCTAACATACCAAGCTTAGGGTCCTTGGTTTATGAAGCGTCAGGAGAAAAAAAAAAAAGTATAAACCAGAATTACTGTGGACAATTCATTCCTACAGTTAGGTACATTGTGATGGAAGCACCTGGATTTTGATCCAACAAGCCAGACAAGGAGCTCTATAACCTTTCAGCCCATTGTGGGATACTATACCGATTTTACTTCTTGAGCAGTCAGCTGGCCAATCCCCAGCTTTGCCAGAGCTCTGTCCAGCTGATGAATCACCGTGGTATGCGTCTTCAAGCGGTATTTCAACAAAGGAGGAGGCAGGTAAGGTGTGAGAAGCATGGCTTGGCTCAAGGCTTTCTGTGAGAGCCCAGAATAAGAGAAAGTCAAATAGATTGCCCATAAGCAAAGACCCCAAATAGGATAAGGCTGAGGAAATGAGAAGGCCTCAAAGTACTCACGATTTGTATAGCCTGCAGTTGGTTCATGCCCAAAGGATGACTGCAGAAACACTCTTTGAGAGCCAGAATATCATGGACTGCTGGGTGGGTACCATTCTGTATCTTGGGAGGGGCAAGAATTTGGGGAGATATTAGGAAGGTCCTGACTGGCTCTCTCACCTAGCTTAGTGCACATTGGATTTCACTAGATTCCTAAATGTGCACGAAGAGTTAGCCAGAGGAATACCTTGGCACATAGATCTTTCAGATGCCACCGAAGCCCTGTGTCAGAAAGAAGAGGGATGGCTCTTTCTAAATAACTAATGATTTCTGAGTGGGACCGCTTCCGGAGAGCATCATAGGCATCTAAGAAATCAACTTGTTGTTTGGGGGTCCAGAAATGCTTGACTAGTAGCTGCCTTGGAAACAGATACCTAAAAGGAAAAAGAACCACAAAGTCACTTGCTGAAACTGGCTTCTTTCAAAGTGGGCTCAGCAAACACTTAACAGACATGTATACCAGGAAGAAGGGATGGAGACACTATTTCTCTCCCTCAGTATTCTTTTACTTTAAAGCATCTCAGCCTAAGGTCTAAAGATAAACTGAAGCAATGTTACTGAAATTTGACATGAAAGCAAGCAGAAGAATCGCTTGGCACAGATCAGGAGACAAAATGGCTCCTTTTGGACTAAAGCATGGGAAGAACATGCTGTAGACAGGACTGCAGACAAAGCTGGACACTGGATGTGATGTTGACAACCCACCTGTAATAGAGAGTCCTTCTATATAGACAGTATGGAAAAGGAGAACATTTGTATTTTTTTGCTTAAATTTACCCACATATGTGGTGATTTTAAAACATGGCCACAGATTTTCTGGCATTCCTTTTGGGGACAGGTAAGATTTATGTGCCTTCATTTTTTCAATCTGAGTGATTGACCTAGTCAACAGACTGGATCTGAAGTGAGTCTGTGACCTCTGAGACAGGTTATCAAAGGTCATACAGACTTATTCTCTGAAACAGTCACCTTTGGAGCCATTTAAGAAGTCCCCAGAACCATAAGGCTACCATACTGAAAAGGCCATATGCACGCACTATAGTTGATGTTTCTAGACTTCCAGCTTTCCCTACCAAGGGACCACACCTAAGAGTAACTGGAGCTTGGCACCAGTGGCTCATGCCTATAATCTTAGCTAACTCAGGAGGCCGAGATCTGAGAATCACGGTTCAGAGCCAGCCTAGACTGGAAAATCCATGAGACTCATCTCCAATTAACAACCAAAAAGCTAGAAGTGGAGCTATGGCTCAAGTGGTAGAGCATTATACTTGAGCAAAAAAGTTCAGAGACAGCACCCAGTCCATGAATTCAAGCCTCAGGACTGGAACAACAACAACAACAAAAAGCTGGGACTGACTTAATATGTATTAAATGACATACAATATCTTTAATCCTAGCATTTGGGAACTTGGGAGGCAGAGGCAGGAGAATTCCAAGTTCAAGGTCTTCCTAGGCTATGAGATCCTATACAATGAGATCCTAACTCAGAAAAAAAAAAAAAAAGTGGTAATACAGATAAAAGACGAATACATTGAGCAAGCAGCTAAGTGTCACTAAGGAACTTCTGTCAACATCACACAGATGAGAAAAATCAATCACCTGCCTGACCCCTGTGGATATTCTTGACCCACAAAGTCATGAAAACAGTGACTGTTTTAAAGTGGTAAGCTCTGCAGTTGTTATAAAGCAACAGATAATCTGAGCAATATTCAAGAAATAGAAGTCTCCCCTCAGGATGAAGATATATCAGAATATGAAATGCATTATTTTTCTGAGGAAAAAAAAAATGGCCCCAGGTAGTGAGATGCTGTCTGTAGGGCTGAGGAAGAAGATCGTGATCTATTTTATATCACTCAGGACAGCTAGGCCACCTACACCTACCACTGTGATAACATCAGTAAATGTATTACTGAGTGATTTTTATGAACCTTAGGATAATGAAAAGACTTGAGCAGGAAGTTTGATAACCTCTGTCTAGTTTCTTAAAAGTACTACTTAAAATAATTTTTTTTTTGGGGGGGGGGGTCCGGTCGTGGGGCCTGAACTCTGGGCCTGGGCGCTATCAGCTCTTCAGCTCAAGGCTAGTGCTCTACCACTTGAGCCACAGCGCCACTTCCAGCTTTTCTTTTTGCTTATGTGGTGCTGAGGAATCGAACCCAGGGCCTCATGCATGTTAAAATAATTTTTAATTAATAAAAAACATCTAACTGGATATCAGTGGCTCATGCCTGCAATCATAACTACTCAGGAAGTTGAGATCCAAAGGATCATAGTTCAAAGCCAATCCAGACAGAAAAGTCTATTAAGACTCCATCTCCAAAATAACCAGCAAAAAGCTAAGCTGGAAGCATGGCTCAAGGGGTAGAGTATCTGTCTAGCAAGGCCCCAAGTTCAAAACCCTACTACCTCAAAAATCAACAATCTAAAATATAATAACAACCTCAAGATATTGGAGAGATCCAAGTGTGTACTCACATTAGCAAGAAGACCAGGTAGTTGGTAAAGGGTGGAATGGAAATAATACCTAGGAAAAGAAACTTGGTGACGTCCCGACGAAACTAAACAAAAACAAACAGAGATGCAGTCTCAAATCAAGTAAGTTCTTAATACCATGGGCAATCCCTCCACCCAACTGGGCAGTAAACTTACATCCCAGAAAAGGTTTACTTCTGTTGACTTCTAGATGGTAAGTCCCTTGAGGACAAACCTCCAATTTATTCACTTTTATGTACCAAAAATCTAGTACAGGACTTCACATTGTAGCAAATCCCTCAGGAAATCCTTCCTGATTTGTAGAATGCATCCCAGAGTCCCATGCTCAGCTTCAAAATTGTCCATCAAGTCACTGTTAAACACTACTTTCCTGCTTCCCTATGATTCCTAGTAAAACTTATATTCAGTAACAAAGTAGATTTTAGTCCTCAGAATTTTTTTTTTTTTTTTTGGGTCTGGTCGTGGGGCCTGAACTCTGGGTCTGAGTGCTGTCCCTCAGCTCTTCAGCTCAAGGCTAGCACTCTACCACTTGAGCCACAGCGCCACTTCTGGCTTTTTTTTTTTCTTTGCTTATGTGGTGCTGAGGAATCAAATCCAGGGCCTCATGCATGCAAGGCAAGTGCTCTACCACTGAGCCACCTTCCCAGCCCAGTCCTCAGAATTTTCATTTAGAAAGTATACCAGAAATTCTATGGCACTAATGAAGGCTATAATACTGAATGAAGCCAATTCTGACAAATAATTGGATTCCCTCCCCCATTACCATTCAGTCCAATAGTTGGATCTCACAGCAAAAAGGAAAAGTTAACAACAAAAACCAACAATTTGAGCTCTTAATTAATTGTAATTACCTCTGTGAACTGCCACTGGCCCATACCTGTCTCAAATGCTCCATCTCCCGGTATGAAAGTTGATGAAATTTTATATTGTGCTCCTTCATATTTAACTTTATTCTTTTAGCCTTTTTGGCATCGGCCCATAACATCTTTAATCCTGCCTCAAAAAACAGATTAGAGGACAGAGTGTAATGTTATCCCAGTTTGAATCTTACCACACTTCTTACTCCATGTTCACTTCTGCATGCACACACATCTGCCCTTCCCAACACTTTATTCAAAAGCATTAAATTGGGTTGAAGTCAATCAGTCCCACTTACCCACCAGCTAAGTGGTCTTCTGTAATTTGTTATCATCTCCCCCTACTAGTTCATTACTCATTCTTCTTTCAAATCCTAGGTGTTAACCTCAGGTCTTGCTTAAATTAACTCTGTTTCCCAGATAGTTATTAATGTTTCTCCTTTCTGGCATATTTTCATATATTGTGATATGTTTCTGTGGTTGCATTTAAACTTTCTATATTTATGATCTTAGCTTTGGACAATTTTGTTTTTGAGACAGTCTATGTAGCTGAGACTAGCCTAGAACTCAAGGTCCTCCTGCCTCAGCCTATCAGCATGTGCCTAGAAAATCAGCCACATTTTTTATTTTTTAGATGAGGACTTACCACGAAGCCAATGCTGGCTTAAACTCAGCCTCCTGGGTGCTGGGATTATAGGACTGTGAGCACCACACCCTGCTCTACAAAGCAGCCATTCATATCCCCACTTTGTAGATACAGATGGGTAAATTTTCAAGTTCATGATGCAGTAATAATTAGCATTATGATAAAAGCAGGGAGTGTAATAATAGCTATCACTTATTGGGCATTTAATATAGATCAGGCCCTGTTCTAAGTTCTTTACATGTGTTGACTTATCTTCACAACTATGTTGCCAGTAGATAGGTTTTATTATTCTCATTTTACAAGTGAGAAAACCAAGGGACAGAGAAGTTATTAGTCCACCTGTACAGCCAGTAAATGACAAGCTGGGATTTGAATTGCTACAGAGTGAGCAACTGACATCATGTGTATGTGTGTGCATGTGTTTGTGCGATTTCTTAGTAACTAGCTGATCTCCAATTTGAACTAAAATACATGTGGTGATATTTCCACCTAAAATAATTGCTACCTAAAATAATTATGGGCCATGATAATGGATAAATCAAACAGCAGATCTGTGTTGCTACAAATCCCTGCCCTTGTACAGGACAAGTAAATTCTACTATAGCCAAGAATGTGGTTAAGCAGGGTATGTGAATATCCTTGTATCCTCCACTCTCCCCTGTTATCACGAATTGTGTCTCACACCATTCTTCAGAAATATCCTAGAAACATTTTTCAGATGTGCTAGTTGATAAGAATTAATGTTCAAACATTTATGTAAATGCAGACATCCCTGCTCACATCCAATTAACAAAACCAACTAATGATCTTAGTTATTCTAACTTTCTGACACTGACCAAGAGCTGACTTAGGGATTTCTATTTTAGCTTGTTTTTACCTTTCATGAAGATTGTATACAGTGCATAGAAGTTAGGAAAATGACGACTCAAGAAACGATGGTATTTCTCATTAATCACTTTTGTCTTGGTCACCACGTAAGAAACCAAGTTCTTCGTATTGGCCTTTGGAGAAAGGTGAAGCTTTGAAGACCTACAAGGAAGATCAAACAGACTATCTGGGAACGAGTCCTGGAAGCCCCTTTCTATCTGTTATTTCTAATGTAAAATACATGCATGTCTCAGAGAATCACTGCCAAGACTTGAAACTTCTCAAATACAAGGACAATCTTTGGGGTCAAAGAGAGAGAAACAACCAGATTAGGGGGGAGACTAAGCAGAAAAGCCAGCAAGTGATATAAGCCAGAAAAGTTTCGAATACGAGGGATTATTTAAAGTGCAAGGTAAAACCAGAGAGAAGTGGGGAAGGAGGTAGGACCACAAAAACCTGGACTAAGAAAGAAAACGTCTGACAGATGAGTTCAGGATACAGACAATATAGAGCCCTGAAAGTCGAGAGGATCAGGAACCAGGACCCTAGAGCAGGGATCTTGCACAGAAGAATGAAAATCCCAGGGCCAAGTCTTCATAGAACCCTGAGGATTTAAGCACCAAAGCTGAGCCACTGGAAAGGTCTGGACATCAAAAATGCTTTCCTCTCTCCAGGTCCCTCACCGAGGGGCTCCCCAAGCAAGGCCAGAGCGAACAAGTTGCAGCCTCCGGGTGACAAAAGGTCCAGGGGTGACCACAGCCGAACCCCACAACGCAGCCCGAGCCCAGCACACCCTGGACAGCGCCATCTTCACAGTGAAGGAGCGGAGCGTGAGGGAGGGAAAAAAAGCGAGAAGGTCGCCTCCGGGTCAAGGTTCATCATCCCTAGAACGCATGCGTCTTCCCTGAGTGCTGACTGGTAGTTGTAGCTCGCTTGGCTCCCACACAAGCTTGGCCCGGCGAAGGACTCCGGAGACTCCAAGCGAAAGGAGGCCCGGGATTGGACACGGCAGCACTTCCTGGTATAAGGACGCCGGAAGTTGGGTCTCCCTGAGGGAGCGCGGGCTCCTGTCGGTGGTGGGGCTTGTGCTGCAGAGGACGCCGTCTCCTTGAGGCGTCTAGTGCCCTTTGTGATTCCCTCAGGGACTCCCAGCGCCGTCCTTGACCTCTGCTCGTACCTGGGGCGTGGGGCTTTGGCCGTTGGGTGTCGGAGGACCGTTCTCGGGGCCGGGGGCCCGGCGCCTCCTGGCCCTGGAAGGCGGGAGGACCGCGCGGCGCCCTCTAGCCGTGGCGGCCTGCGAGGCCCGGGACCGTCAGGCCGGCGGCGGCAAAGGTTGGGAACAGCCCCGGGTGCTCTCAGGACTGGACGCGCTCTCTTTCTTGTTTTTCTTTTCTTTCCTTCTTAACCCCTCCCTCCGTCCTCTGAACTCGGTTAGGCGAGGTGTGGAGGGGATGGTTTTCATGACTGAAGTCCAGGCTTGAGCTCAGATGGTATTTATGTGGAAGACTTGCTGGGCTGGGGTCACCCTCTCAGAACTAGTGCACTTCACAAAGAAGGCACACTTTCCCCCTGGAATAGCCCCCCTCCCGTGTGTGTGAGTGTGTAACCACTTGTTCAAACTTTTGTGTCCTTTGATTGTGAACTAGACTGAAGGCAGACACTTCTCAGCTCACTGCTGTACACTTAACACTGGGTTCCAGACGTGGCACATTATCGGTGCCCAGTAATTTTTTTAAACTAAACACAAAGGATTTCTGAAAGTGGCATCTGGATGCCTCCGAGAGACGTATGTACAAATACTTCTATGGAGGAGGATAGAAAGACCATCCCATTTGAAATCACAGGATCTGGATGCTGATCTTAGCACTGGCATTTCCTTTAGTGTATGACCGTAGATATGTCACTAAAAAATAGTCCTGTTTATGTCTCTTTAGAGTAATACATACCTTTTAAGGATTCTAGCCGGGCGCCAGTAATCCTAGCTACTCTGGAGGCTGAGATCTGAGGATCGCGGTTCAAAGCCAGTCCGAAGGGGTCAGGGAGGGAGAATAGGGGGAAAATGAGGAAAGGGGTAACAAGTTTGACAAGAAGTGCACTTATTACCTTATGTAACTGTAACCCCTCTTTACATCACCTTGACAATTAAAAACAAAAAAGCCAGCCTAGGCGGGAAAGTCTATTAGACTCTTATCTCCAATAAACCACCAGAAAACCAGAAGTGGCACTGTGGCTCAAGTGGTAGAGTGCTAGCCTTGAGCTGAAGAGCTGAAGGACAGCACCCAGGCCCAGAGTTGGCAAATCCCACGACCGACAAAAAAAAAAAAAAAAAAAATTCTGGCCAAGTGCCAGTGGCTGATGCCTGTAATTCTAGGTACTCATGAAGCTGAGATCTGATCTGAGGATCACAGTTCAAAACCAGCCCAAGTAGAAAACTCCCCATGAGACTCTTTTCTCCAATTAACCACTCAAAAATCAGAAGTGGAGTTGTAGTTCAAAGTGGTGGAGTGCTAGCCTTGAGCAAAGAGCTCAGGGACAGCGCCCAGGCCCTGAGTTCAAGCCCCATGACTGACACACACACAAAAAGAACATCTGAGAATCACATTTGGAAGCCAGCCAGGGCAGGAAAGTCTATGAGACTCTCCAATTAAGCACCAAAAAACAAGACAGAAGTGGAGCTGTGGTTCAAGTGGTATAGTGTTAGCCTTGAGCAAGAAAGAAGCTCAGGACAGTGCCCAGGCCCCAAGTTCAAGCCCCATGATGGACAAAGAAAAAAAAACAAGCAAACAAGAAAAGACAGAACAGAAATTCATTCATTCGTCAAAGTACTGTTTTATTGCTTCTGAATGCCATCTCATTGGGCTGATGTTCTTCAACCAGCCATTTTCCATCTGTCTTAACTGCTTCTACCTTTGTCTAAGCTACCAGGCTCTGATCTAGACTACTGAAATAGCTGCCTTACTGTTTTCCTTGGCATTTCTATTGTCCTTTCTCTAATTAATTCTGTATACTGTATGTAACCAAAGAATGCTTTCAAAACTGCCCCTCTAACAGATAGAGTGGTATATGCCTAAAAGGCTGAGACCTTGGTCCTTCTATCTGCCTGTGGAATAGATAGGATTGCAGATGTACACCACAATACTTGACCCCCTTTTTTTTTTTTTTTTTTTTTTGAGACAGGATCTCACTAAGTACCCCACCTTGGCTTTGAACTCAGGATCCTTCTGCTTGGTTCTGTCAGTTGAGATTACAGGAATGCACCACTCCACTTGGCTCTCTGAGCACATCTAGGAAAACTCAGAGGAGCTGACCAAAGAATTGGATGCTGCTTTTGAACACTGTTAAAGGGATTGTAAATAAACTTAATTTGGTACACAGTTCTAAGGAACATGAAAGCAGTGTTTTCACCTTGTTGGTTATAATAAACTTAGTAAGGAAAACAAAAGATTAAAGACTATGGCAGCATAGGCCTGTAATCCCAGCACCCTGGAGTTTGAGGCAGGAGAGTTACAAGTTGAAGAATGGTCTGGGCTATACAGTAAGACTTTGTAAAATAAAAAATAATAATAAGATAATGTGAATTCCCAGGCCTCTCTTTGAGCCAAGGTGGTAGCAGAGGAGGCCTGAACTTTTTGATGGGAGAAGTCAGAGCACAGTCCCCCAGGTCATTTCAGCCTTCCCTGCTCTGCAGCCCTTAACCTCAGTGGTCATTGCTCTCACTGCTTTTTCTGCTCACAGCTGGCTTTCTGCCTTTTGAGCCATGCTTCCAGTTCAGGCTTTTTTGCTAATTAATTCAAGATAAAGAGTCTTGTGAGGGCTGGGAAGGTGGCTCAGTGGTAGAGCGCTTGCCTTGCATGCCTGAGGCCCTGGGTTCAATTCCTCAGCACCACATAAGCAAAAAGAAAAAAGCCGGAAGTGGCGCTGTGGCTCAAGGGATAGAGTGCTAGCCTTGACCTGAAGAGCTGAGAGACAGCACCCAGGCCCAGAGTTCAGGCCCCACAGCTGGATTCACCCCCCCCCCCAAAAAAAAAAAGAGTCTTGTGAATTTTTCTGCTTAGTCCTGGCTTTGAACTGGGTTCTTAGCCTCCTGAGTCGCTAAGACTACTAGGTGTGAGTTCTCAGTGGCCAGCTTGGGTTTTCCTCCAGTTTCCCAGCATATTGTAATTGATTGGAGACGTGGTACTCTACACTTGGATCCTGGCTTCAGAGATGTACTCGACTCTTGACAGTATTCTGTGAAGATAAACCAGGTACATTGTAGCCAGGAGGAAGTCATGTTTATAATAGCCCATAAATCTGATTCTTTTTGCCCCAAATTTCTGGGATGTAGTTAGTCTGGCTGCCATACAGGACTATATTTGTATAACTGCCCCCAATAAATGCATAGTATCCTATACAATCTTAAATCTGCCATTCACCTCATATTCCTCATACATTCCTCATACTGAATTGTTCTGGAACAATAGTTGATCCATCCAGAAGCCTGAAGGAATGGACAAGGAGGAAAGATCACCTTCAGGGAGAAATCCAGAAGTGACCATCTAACCATGTAGGCAAGAATGCTCAACAGAAATTATTTGACAGTTGTTCACTAAATGCCATGTACTGCACTACTGTAACTAAAAATGGCAAGATGCGCTGGGCACCTGTGGCTCATGCCTGTAATCCTAGCTGCTCAGGAGGCTGAGATCTGAGGATCACAGTTCAAAGCAAGCCTGGACAGGAAAGTCCATGAGACTTTTATCTCCAACAAACCACCAGAAAACTGGAAGTGGCACTGTGGATCAAGGTGTAGAGCGCTAGCCTTGAGCTGAAGAGCTGAGGGATAGTGTCTAGGCCCTGAGTTCAAGCCCCATGACTGCCAAAAGAAAATGGCAAGGTATTACTTCAATGGTATGGCCTTTGCTATGGGTAGTGTGACTGGACATCAGTGCCCACCTGACTGTGGACAAGACAGTAAGGAAATTTGAAGAGTTAAATGCTGGGGATTTAGCCCAGTGGTAGAGCACTTGCTTAGTATTTATGAGATCCTGGCTTTCAACCTCAGCTCCACAAATAGTTACAACTTGAAAGAGATATAAATAGTGGCCTCTGGTAGCATGCCTGTAACCCTAGCTACTCAGGAGGCTGAGCTCTGAGAATCACTGATTGAAGCCAGACGGGCAAGAAAATTCATGAGACTCTTTCAATTACGAAAAGCCAGAAGTGGAGGTAAGGCTCAAGCCTTAAGTGAAAAAGCCAAGGGACAATGCTGAGGTGCTGAATTCAAGCATCAGCACAAGCACAAAACAACAAGAACAATAACAACAAAACTCCTGGCCTCTTAAAAAGTAGAAAGGCTGGCTGGGAAGGTGGCTCAGTGGTAGAGTGCTTGCCTTGCATGAATGAGGCTCTGGGTTCGATTCCTCAGCACCACATAAGCAGAAAAAGCTGAAAGTGGCACTGTGGCTCAAGTGGTAGAGCGCTAGCCTTGAGATGAAGAGCTGAGGGACAGTGCCCAGGCCAGAGTTCAGGCCCCACAACCAACAAAAATAAATAAATAAATAGAAAGGCAAGGCACAAGATTATGTCTTAGCTTACTGTTTTGTGCTCATGGAAGAGAGAAGAACTGGAAGAAAAAACAGATGTAACCTCTTATTTTGCCATCAGAATGGAATGTAAAGAATGGGAGTCTCTGAGAGGAGCATAGGAAAGAAAAATCTGAGATTAAAGCAATAAGAGGATAGGGTCACTACTGCGCTGCTTTATCACTTACTGGCTAAGGTAAAAACAGGCACCGAAGAGCAGACTCAAGATGGGGGCGGGGGTTGGGGGGAGGGGGCCAGTGGGTAAATCCCATTCAACTGTTCG